TTTTGTTCACAAGACTCCACAGCTGGAAAGCACATTTCACCTGGGGGCACAAGAGTGGAGCGATGCGGCGGCAAGCTGAGCGGAGGGGCCACGAGGCCATGGCCGCCCGCCCCCAGCACGAGCCCCATCGCCGGCCTCCCCCCGCAGACCGGCCGGGGAGCCACGCTGCAGCCTCCACCAAGCCCGGTCCCAGCAGATCCATTCATGCCAGGGCCCCCCCTTCCCTCCCTCCGCGGCTGCTGGAAGGCCGTTGGGGCTCTCTCGCTCGGCCAGTCGAGCCTCCGCCGCCGCCGCCCCGTTTCCTGCTGTTCTGTGCTGAGGACTTCTCGGCGCCCCCCTTCTCGCGGCTGCTGGGCGGCAGAGAACCGGAGCGGCGGCGGCCCGACTGGCCGATCGGCCGAGTGAGAGAGCCACGAGGCCGCAGGCAGCCTGCCCCTGATCCCGCTGCCCTTAATTTCGTTCCTGCAATGTGCTGAACTAACGAACTAACGACACCAATCTTTTAAACAAAAAAAAAAAAGAGGAGGTGGGCTAATGGGCGTGGAAAAAGTGGGGAGGGGGGAGGGGGGAGGGCTCAATCACCGCGAAGCAAACGGAAAATCCTGGGATTTGAGGATTTCAACTGCTGCGGAGCAAATGGGGGAAGCACCGGGCCAAAAGGAAGCATCGAAACAAATGGTGTGAAACCGACGAGATGCTCCGGAGGAAAGAGAGGGCTCACCGCGCTTCACAGCGGGCCAAAGTCCCATGCGAAATCGCCCTATGTCTCCACAGGAGCTTTTCCCCTGCTTTTCAATAACTGTTTTTTTCACTGGATGTTTCCCCGTTCTTGGTTGCAATCGTTCACAGAGAGAAACGCTAGTTTACCCACCACAGAGGTCCCCATCGAGCTACATTTCCAGCTATGCCAAAACCTGATCCTGGCATAGACAGATGCTTCATATGTGTATAAAGCACTTTAAAGACTTTCAAAGTGCATACGTGAAAGACAAAAATTCCCTTTCAAGCAGACTTCTATCTGGTCACTGAGAATCAAGCAAGAAGAATTTACAATCAGCATTTCAATGGTCATGCTCTTATATGTCACCTGTCAACAGGTATTCTGTCTGAAGCATAGTTGTTGTCCTCCCTCATTATTTTTCCATGGATTGATATGAATTTGGTAATGATTTTCCACATTTCCACATTTCAAGTGTGAATAGAAGCAGTCTGTTGGTTCCACATTGGTCCCCCTTCCATGTTCACTAGTGAAATGGACATGGTAGGCCACCAGGTAAGCCAGTTTCACTGATATTGAGAAAACAATCCTCATCTGCCACCTTTTCCCGTTGCCATGGCTGCTACTTCTTAAAGGTGGAGATTGTGGCACTGGGGATTCCAAAATGAAAGTATGTCTGCAGCAATAACTTTTTTAAAAAATTGACACATCACCTGCAATTCAGTTTTACTGGACAAGCAGAGAATAAGGATATTGAAGTGGGTGGGTTAGAAAGATTCCTGTGAAGTTGCCTCCAAGTCAAGTTGCAGGGCAGGGCAGAAAGATCTGAAGGTGCCCTCCTATATGTTAGCTAGAGGGAGTGTGATATTTAAAGCTGGAAAAGCATAACCTGGTGATGCACATGAACTGAAATGATGAAGATTCTTGTGGGACATAGTACTGCTGAGAACAAAAACTGGTTTTAAGGAGGCACCACGATAGCATCCTATCAGATCATTTTCCTGGCATACCAGCAGAAAATGCCTATCCTGGTACCCATAACACCCTCTGGTCTGGTCTGCCTTATGTCATAGCAGAGGCGGCAGTGGCAGGCTCAGTGCTGCTAGTCTTGAGACTGGCATGAATGGCTCGGGAGCTGAGACAAGGTGCTCATTGTTGGCCTCTGACGTTGTCCTGTTGCATTGGGTGGTTCTAAGCAACAGATGCCCAGGACATCTTTTTAAAAGGCACCATTGAGACAAGAGCAGCTCACATCATCTTCCTGAGTCTGACTCCGTCGCTGCTTTTCTCCTGAGAGGGCACTGCTTAACCAAACCTGCAAAATGTGCAACAAATTTGTGGGGTCCTGGAAACTGGTCTCTAGTGAAAACTTTGATGATTACATGAAAGAACTGGGTGAGAAATGTTTTATTTGAAGGCTGCTATTACCATCGTCCCTTTCTTTTGTATGCTGTGGCTTCCCAGTCACTTTGCTTTTAATTTAAGAATACTGAAATGACGGGGGAACTCAGAGATATTTTTATTTCTGACATAACAGTGCCCCAGGCTTTCACTATGGATAAGAAATGAATATTTGTTTTCTTGGTTTTTTTTTGTATAAAGATTTTATTGACTCCCCTAAAAAGGGGAGGAGTTTCGCTTAAAAAGAAAAATAGGGAAGGTATATAGTGGGACGAAGAGAAAGCTGAGTGATCTATTAACTGTTAGATTAAACTGTTAGTAATGTCCAATCATCAAAGGCTTCTTCTGCGTGTTGTCAAACATCTTTTTTCCATTCCAGTTACTTTCTGTATTAGTATGTTAGTAATGTTCCTTTGAATTTCTGTTAAAAAGTCTCTTCAGGGCACATTCAAAACCGCTTCTTTTACGTGCTGGTTACTTTTCCACTCTCAGTGACGGGAGGGGCTTCCTCTGTTTTTCTCTCCCTCCGGCTTCTTCCCCTCCTCCTTCGGGTCGCTGTTAACTCTTTCAGTTCCTGTGCTATAAGTCGTCTTCCTTTCATGCCATGCCCGGAGATCTCCAGCTTTGAGAATGGTATTAATTTCAATTTCGCTTTTATCCGCTCCCAATCTCTTCGCTGGATTCTCCTCTTCAATTGTTGACTTTTATAAGCGCTCATGAGGCACTTTTCGCTGTCACAATTCAAACTTTTCTTTTCCTTCACAATCCCCGTTGGATTCATAGCTATACACAGTCCAAATATTAAACAGCCGGCACTCACGTTGACACAAACGCCCAGACGGAAGTCCCTCCCTTCTCCTCCGCTTGTCTTTACCCAGCTCCGACATCTTGTTTTTTTATTTTTAGTAAAGTTTTTAAAATGCGCTCCAGAGAAACAAAACCTTTTCTTGCTTATTTTCAAGTACATCAAAGGAAAACATCACTATTCGTTCAATCCATTCCCCCCCTCTTTTCTTTTTTTTTCTTTCTCGCTTATAGAGGATTAACCTCCTCATTTTCCGCTGAAGGGGGGGGGAAACGTTCTTAGTTCATTTTCTCTGTATTTTGACAACTCACAGTTACGCCAGTCTTTTCTTTTCCATTTTTTTCGGATATTCGCTTCATCACTCGGTGACGCCCGGTGGTTCCGCTAAACCCCGTAGAACGGGGTCGCTCACGCAGCAAGGTCCAAAGGGGCAGGGCATGGCGAGAGTCTCAATCTCCGATCTTTCGACCGAAAGAGAGACTCCCCCCTGGAACGCCCTAAAGCGCCCCGGATCCGAGCTCCTCTCATCTGAGGGGCTCGTTCGGGTCTCCGCTTGCGCGGATTCCCTCCTCCACCGCGGGCAGGCAAGGCGCCCTTGGGAGCGACCCGAGGATGCGTCTGCCTTTCGCGGGAGCCAGACCGGAAGCCTATTTGTTTTCTTGTTTAATGGGAAAATTTACCTGCTAGTTGACAGCACAATGGTTACAATTTTTGCCATGAGTTAATTAGTTTTCTTTCTCAGCAACTGGATGGACACAATGTTAGGCATGCACAGTAGATGTTGTTTGCAATTTTATTTGCTTTACCATAGCTGACCAAACCTATTGTGATTATGCTGACAGCATTCATTTTCAACATTACAGTCGCTGTAGGAATTGTTCCTGGTAGTGCTATTTGCTTCTGGGGCTAAATGTGGTCCTAGAACCCCTTTAATTGATAAATGCTTGACCAGTAACTTTACCAAAGAAATGGGATTTGAAAAAATTATTGGAACAGAATGAAGATTAAAAATGGCTAGCATTCACATGCCAAAGGTATTTGTTTTCCTACATATTGCAGATTCCCTCAGATGATTTTTTAAAATAATAGGCTGGATCCAGGGATTCTGTGAATGAAGTAAGTCAAAGGAAGTGCTTTTTGTCAATTCACCATCTGCTGGTCAACCTCAAAAGTGGCTACTGAAGATATGGCACACGGCGGGGGGGAGGGCAGCAGCAAGAAGAAAGAAATTGGCTGCAATCGTCCCCACAATCATACTCTTGCTCTGCTCGCAATTTTGCTGTATTTCCTAATCTTGCCCCCCATGTCATCTGGCATAATCTGAAAGCCCCCCCATCCTCAGCAGCATTTTGGTGGGCATTAAAGGAAGACAGAAACATTCCCTTCCAAGAACTCCCTTGTATACTGAAACCTAGGAGTGAATCTATTAACATGTAGTTGTTTGTGCTGCAATAAACCTTTGTTAGTCTTTACATTGCCACTAGACTCCTGTTTATTTTTGCTGCATATACTTTATTTATTTTTTGTTTGTTTATACTTCAAATTTATGCTGACCTGGGGTCAACACCAAAATCTTGAACCTGACTCGGTACTCCACTGGGAGCCAGTCTAGCTGGCTCAGCACAGGTTGTATATGTGCCATCCATGGTGTTCCCGGCAGGACTTATGCTGCTGCATTCTGAATCATTTGGAGCTTCTGGGTCAGTCTCAAAGGCAGTCCAGCATGAAGCAAGTTACAGTAGTCTAGGCTGGAAGTGACCATTGTATGGATTACTGTGGCTAGGTCAGGGCGCGACAGGAAAGGGGCTAATTGCCACGCTGGGTCTAGGTGGAGAAACACCAGCCTGGCAATATCCGTGACCTAGGCCTCCATAGTTAAGGAGGCATCCAGGACCATGCCCAAACTCCTGACGGATTGCACTGGTATTAATGGCACCCCGTCAAGAGTGGGAAGTCTATGCCCCAACCCTGAGCCCCCCCCCCCCGGGCCACAGAACCTTCATCTTTGTCGGATTCAGTCTCAGCCTACTCTTTTTTAACCATCCCAGCATCAGATTAGCACACCTGGAATTATTGTCTGGAATTATTTTAAAATACTGCCTGAAATCGTTGAAAGAGAACTAATTCCTGTCACTTATTGGCCATGTTGATAAACCTAATTTCACATATTTTAAAGGTGTGCCCTCAAAAGTCACAGTGATCCATATAGATTCCGGCAAAGATAATGCAACTAAAATAACTCTGTGTACGAGAAAATATGAGCACGATCACACATGAAATCGGTTGCAGGACTTTCTTTCAAATCAGTTCAAACTAGGAACCTGCACTTAATATGCATTTACATCAAATCATTTTATTCACGAGCAAAGGAATTCTTATGCTTTACTTCATGTACAAGGGGGCATATGCTTATTCCCAGGTGTAGTGGTTAAGTGAGCGGACTAATCTGGGAGAACCGGATTTGATTCCCCACTCCTCCACTTGCAGCTGGCTGGATGACCTTGGGCAAGCCATAACTCTGGCACAGCTGTTCTTGACAAGAGCAGTTTCTGTCAAGAGCTCTCTCAGCCCCACCTACCTCACAGGGTGTCTGTTGTGGGGAGGGGAAAGGAAAGGAGTTTGTAAGCCGCTCTGAGACACCTTTGGGTAGTGAAGGGTGGGGTATAAATCCAGTCTCCTCTCCTCCTCCTCCCAAATAGAGGTTATTGGGAGAGGTGAGTCACACATGAAGTGCAACACTAAAGTTATCATTTGTATGCGTGAATGAGATATTACAGATGGATGATCACAAAGTGAAATTATGCCAGGGTGCTGGGTGTCCCACCTCCCCAGCTGGCCCGGAGGCACTCTTCACGGGAGGAGGAGCCTCAGCCCATATCAAGTGAAACAATTTTCAGTACAATCAATTCAGACATTCAACAGTGAATCACCAAGTTCTGAATATTAAAGGATGGAAAATCAAATAATCAAAGTGCACTCCTAAACCTTGGTATATCCTTCTAAGTCCATTGACGTTAATAGTCTTAGAAGGGTATAACTCTGCGAGGATGGCACTGTGAGTAAAATATATGCTTGTATGAACTGGACATAAGTCCTAGGAAAAATTGCCATATATTAAATGTCTCAATTTCATTTTCCACTGGCTTCAGTGGTACATTGACTTTCTGAGACTGCATTTGCTTGTCTTTTTAACAACTAGTGCAATTCATAGGGGTTCACCATTATTTAAGATATGTTAATGCCCTAATATGTTTAAACCCTAATAAGCTGTCTATTAAAAAGCAGACCTGTTCAGACATTTGTAGATAATTGCTATATCTCCTAGTTTTCAGATATATTCCTAGTCCTATGGGCTTTGTAATGTGTGCAATGCAGTCAAGATATTATTTTTTTTTGCCCCACAGTCTATAGCAATTTTTTTTGGTGTTCAATTTGTAGGTGTCGGGCTGGCCACCCGAAAACTTGGCAGCCTGGCCAAGCCTAAGGTTATAATCAGCATGAAGGGTGATGTGGTAACCATCCGAACAGAAAGTGCCTTCAAAAACACAGAGATCACTTTTAAGTTGGGCCAAGAATTTGAAGAAACCACAGCTGATAACAGGAAAACCAAGGTGAGGGCTAGTCTTTTCAAATTTTTTGTAGCTTGGCCAGATGGTGTAAGCGAGAAGCATTCTCTTCCTTTGAAGAGAACCATCATACCTCAGATTGGCAAAGCACATGGCCTGCTCGAAACCCAAATCACTTGATACAGAATACAGACAGGCCATAAACCTTGTGAAACGTGCCAGAGAAGTGGTGGTGGTGGTGGTGGTGGTTGTGAAAGAGATTCTCTGCAAGATAAAATGCAAAAATATTGTGTATTGTAAGAACATTTGTTATGGTTACCTTGTAATATTTCTATAGCTGTGTCATCCATACTAATCAAACAGCCATCCTCTTCTCTGTCAAATATATGCCTTTGGCATATATATCTTTTACTCTATTGACCCTTTTAATTGTTCGTAATTATCTGTCTTACCTCAAGATGTTTGAGTTTCCCTGACTGAATGACAGACAGGGGCATAAAAAAATTTAGGGTGCTTTCCAACGAGTAGAGGGCTGAGGAATAATCAAGGGGATTTTGAAATGCAGGGGAATGTATAACTACCCTACTTCCTCATTTAAATAGCTTCCCTGGCTTCTAATATGTCAAACATAAAGTTATGACAATCAAATTTTGATTTATTCTTTGGGTCTCTGCAGACAATCTTAACTTTAGACAAAGGCTCATTGGTTCAAGTACAGAAGTGGAATGGCAAGGAGTCAACCATAAGAAGAAAACTAGCTGATGGGAAAATGGTGGTGGTAAGCCAACATCTTTTCATGACATTGGACATGTGCCATTTTCCCACCTTTGCCTCATTTGGGAAAATACATGTGCTGATGGGCTGCATATAACTTTGCACAAGGGGGCAAATAGTGGTTCCCCAGGGCTATTTCAGGTCAGGACAAGGTAATCACGGTTTGATCACGGTTTCCGACCACACCTTGTGGTGCTGATCCAAATTAGACCCATGTGTGACTGAGAATTAAGTTCCCAGCACTGAACTTGTACAAACCTAGGGTGAAAGTGAGGAAAATATGACATATAGTTAGGCTCTCATTCTTCCATTGCAGTTAATGAGATTTAAAAGACTGTGTCTGATATTTTAAATGGTGTTATACACTCTCAGTCATACATTTCAGAACAAACCTCCAGGACCTGTTCTTACAATTAAACAATGCTAATTACATTGCACTAAAGATGGATTGAGATCAGCTGGTTTTAAACTTCTGTATTTTAAATACATGTCCTCTTTCATACAAATGCTGACTAGGGGTAGTGTTAGTTATTTTTTCCCTCTAAAGTCTGATCTTGTGGCTTTAGGTGGGATCAAAACACTAACCTTTCTACTAGAGTCTGACCTGAGGGTTCAGATATGCTGGCAGGTGCTACATAGATACCCCCAGTTTCCCCAAACTGGCTGTCTGCTGAAAAGGGAGCCAGGAGCTAGCAATCCGGTCTCACACCAGCTTCCAAAAGAAGTAATCCCAATTGCTTCCCATTTTATGATTAGGTCTATTCTCTGCTCAGCATGTTTGAAGTGGCTTTAGGCAACCATTTCACCATATTTTCACTGAAAGTGATGTGAGTTTCATGGTGGAGCAGGAACTTGAACCCTGATTTTCCAGGCTGTAGTCCAACACTGTATCTGCTACACCATATTGTAGTTTCTAAACCCCATGGTTTAACATCAGATTTGAAACACTGATGAAAAGTTTCTCAGGGATAAACATTAAAAATAAATAAATACCCATCTGGAGACCCAAATGCAACTACTAGTTGCAGCACACAATATAAGCTAGTATCGGGCTTGGCAGTGGCATCTTGTACCACTTGCAGATGAACTGTGTTTTCTTTACAGACTAAACACAAATATTTTTGAAGATAATGGCTCTAGTACAACTTACTTTAAGACTAATTCAGATTTCCCAAATTATCTTTCTCTGTGCTTTAGGAATGCATCATGAAAGGAGTCACCTGCAGACGAGTCTATGAGAGAATGTGAGGAATCTCCCCGTGTCCAGTAGATTGAATTTAGGTCCTCAGATCCACGTTATTTATGTGGAGGAAATAAGACTGTCCACCATGTTCTTTTGTCTTCCTTACTTCCTTTTACTAAGGAGCAACTATGCTATAAACATATATTTTAAAACTCACTGTACAAGTAGTGTGAAAGTATTTGTGATTCAATAAATGCTCATTAATGTAAGAATCAGAAGTATGTTGTTTCAGTGCAGCAGTGTTTTAGAACTGATCCTTCAGTATTTTTCCACAGTAACACTGCATTGTCTCAATACAGAGGGTCAGTCCATCCGTAGCTATAACTAAGGTTGCCAGCCTCCAGGTAGTGGCTGGAGATCTCCCAGAATTATAACTGATCTCCAGACAACAGATATCTCTTCCCTTGGAGAGAAGAGAGCCAGCAAGAGAGTCGAATTGAAGCAAGATAGACTGCAAAATCAGAGTTAACTTCTAGAGGTTTTCAGGGCTCCACCATTTAGACAGCAGCCTGAAGAAGTCAGAAGAAACAGACAGCAACCTAGGTGATCTGTAGCCACTTCTTTTGTGACTGTGTTTAGAGACAAAAAGGGAGTGGTTAATAACTTTTGTGAAAAAGGACTGTAAAATAAAATACTAATTCATTTTAAGGACATAATTTGTTGTCTAATACTTTATTTGTACAGTATTTTTTGTGTGTGGTTTGCACCCTTGGAGAAAATGGTTGCTTTGGACGGTGGACACTATGGCATTATACCCTGCTGAGCTCCCTCCTCCCCCCAAACTCTGCCCTCCATAGGCTCCAACCCCCAAATATCCAGGAGAGAAGGAGGTTTATTCTAGAGGTTGTTTTTTTCAACAGCCACCTGAGTGACTGAGGTTCTGAGGAGGCATTCTTGGTTAGTTTCTTCCCACCATGTGTGAATTATCTTCTTTTTGAGCCTTTTTTTTTTTTAAACTCAAGTACCTTCTGGCCTAAGTGTGTTTCTTTTTTATATTCATTTCTGAACAACTGTTTTAGAGTGTTTTATAAGGTCTTGGGAGGGGGGGGGAATAGCTCCCTTCTTACAAATTTGTCTGGCATGTTCTATATAGAAAAACAAACATTAGAAAAGGGTACCATGGGAGCTGGGAGTTTCTTCCAGAACAGGAAAAATGCAGCTGACCTGATAGCACTAATGACAAAAACAGATGAGGTATGTGGTGTATCATATTAACGCACAGGCAGCGTTTATTTGAACTCTAAACCTCTCATCTTGACTAACATCAGGAGAACTGAGGAGGAGGTCATTCCGAAAACTCATTTCCTAAAAAGGCTTTTTGACTGTCCTGTGCTTGAACTGAATGGGATTTATACACATGTCTAACATAACAAAGGGATGCTACTGCTCTGGTATTCTGCTCACAACTTCTTTTTCTCTACTCTCTAACACAGGGGCTCCCAACACGATGCCCATGGGTACCATTGGTGCCTGTCAACACTTTTCTTGGCCCCCACCAAGTGTTTTTAGACAATGGGAGGGGTCGAGTGGCGCTCTTGCCCAGCAACACTTATGATTGGCCATTGGAGATCTGATTAAAATAATGTCCTTTCAGAAGCAGCTGCCACCACAGTGTGGATTTTATTCTCATTCACTCCTCTTTCCCAATGTATTTTTTAAATCATTCCTCCAATTGTTTCCACCAGACTTCAGCCCTATGTAGAGGCAAAACCTTGGAGTGCTGTTTGCCAGCATGAAGCCATAGCCTGGTCAGTCATGAATAACTGAACAATGTGGTCAAAGGGGCCCACCTTCAATGCCGTCACCCCCCACTGCCCTTTGCCTCTTAGTGCTTCCTAGGTAATATCACAGGGGGGTATACTTCCCACTTTGGGAACCCCTGCCCTGAAGGAAATACAGCTTAGAGGGTGGACTCTACAGTGTCACATAGCCCCTCCCATCCCCAAACTCTGCCTCCCTAGGCACCGTACCCCCAGATCTTCAGGAATTTTCCAGGTCAGAGTTGGCAACCCAAGAAGGAGTTTAATAAGGGAAGAGGAGCTGACAAAAGTATCTTGGATCAAAGCAATGTAGTATTTTAAAGGTAAGAACCAGAATGTGTTTTTTGTTCCTCTCAGTCTGACAGGTGTTTGAATGCCATTTGAGGAGGGGTGTGGAAAAGAAAATTCTGGTTCATTAAAAAAAAGTAAAGGGAGAGACTCCATTTTTGTTCCTTCATCCAAGTGGTCTTTGGGGCATCCAGAAATCTGACTTGCACCCAGCGCCATGAAATCTAAATGCTGTGACACCTTCTCCTCTTCTTTTAAAGAAACAGCTGCAGACACCAGAACATCAAGAACCTGTAATAGCACAGGCCTCCTAAATAACAGAGTCTTTGCTCTCCCACCTCCCCTTCCCTTGATATTTAACATCCCGCCTCATCAAGAGTTCTAGGGCACCAAAGTCTGCAACTCAGTATTTTGTGATATTTTGGTTGATTCTAATATAAACATATTACACTAGAGTTTTGTGTTTTCCCCCATGGATCAACCTGGCTGCCTACAATGTTTCTCCTAAATAGTTGATTGTTTGAAAAACTGGACAAAAATAGTAGCATTCATAACTCCTTTACAACTCAGGGAGATAAACAGGCTTATCAAAAAGCCTATTGTTGCAGATCTTGCATTTCAGTGTGCAGCTCTGGATAATGGACCGTTGTACCAAAGAGCAGACTGACAAATAATGATTATACAAGAGACCGAAGAACACAGCTTCATTAGTTAGTAATTGACAGCACTATCCTATGCAGAATTACTCCAGTCTAAGTCCACTGGTCAGTACATTTACAATGGAGTAAGTCTGCATTAGGAAAAATAAGGGCGCAGCTTTTCACAAAATAGTTTGTATCACTTTAGAAATTGGGATGTGGTCTCAGTCTCTCAACTAGCTTTCCCATGTGTTGTTTACTTTTAACAATATCCAATATCTTATTTAAGGAAAGGAAAGTCTCAGAGGCTCTGACCACGCTTTATTTTCTAAGTCAACCATTTGGATCAGGGCCAAGCCATTCTTACCGTATGTGGACAATGTCAGGCAAGCAGCTTGGTTTTTTTGTTTTTCTTTCCAAAAAGGGTTTCAGCTAGGGTTGCCAACTCCAGGTTGGGAAATTTCTGCAGATCTGGGGGTTTGGGAAGGGGATGGACCTCAGCAGAGTATTATGCTGTAGACGCCACGATCCAAAGCAGCCATTTGCTCCAGGGGAAGTGATCCCTGTTGTCTAGTCTCTGGAGATCAGTTGCAATTCTGGGAGATGGCTGCTTTGGAGTGTAGACTGTATGGCAACATACTGTGCTGAGGTCACTCTCCTTCCCAAACCCTGTCCTTTCCTGGCTTCACCTACAGATCTCCAGGGATTTCCCAACCTGGAGCTGGCAGGTCTAGTGGGTGAGGTTCTGCTTAGGATTGTGCTGTAAGGGTATCTTTAGATTTCAGGCCATAATATTCTATAGGTTTCTCCCCACCACCACCACTCTTCCTCCAAGGAGTTTAGAGTAGCATCCTTCTCTAATTTATTTCATTAAAAACCCTGTAGGTTAAACCATGGGCCTCCAATGTGGTGCCCGTGGACCCTATGCACCCACCAACACCTTTCCAGGCAATGGCCAAGTGCTTTTAGAGAGTGGGCAGTGCCAGGCAGGACTTATTTTAGGCCACTGGAGATTTGATGGGCTTAGCAGATTTTTTTAAATCTTGCTTTGGCAGCAGCTGCCACCACAAGGATCTTCACTGTGTGACTCAAGGTAAGCTGCAGCAGCCATTTTATGGCTGGCTCTGTCCTGTGGCAACCATTTATAGCAGCCATTTTGTGGCTGTGCCCACCATGTTGTGTCAGAATTCTGGTGGTTCTGGCAAGCTCAAAAAAGGTTGAGGACCCCTGGATTAGACTGAGAATTATTGGTTTAAGGTCACCCTTCTGAACTTAATGGCTGAGTGAGGGTTTGAACATGGTCTCCCCAGTGTAACACTTCGACCTGTATTCCAGTGGCACTCAATAATGCCATTCTAGAGGGAAGCACTGTCCAAGAGCCAACATAGTCCAAAAGAGAATGTGTTTAATTGAATGGACACAGAAAAGTAATTTTGCATTCATAAAATAATTCAGGGTTTTCTGTTCATAACATGGACAGACTGGACTAGAGGAACTGTGGTAGACCCAAATACCTGGCCTTGTGTTTTTACTGTTCAGACAGCATATGCAACAGGAAACAGGAAGCACAGATTTATCCAGAGTAAAACAAAGTTTACAAAACTTAGAACGAAACGTCACAGGCATTAGCTGGGACAGAAGTTCTACAAACACCCAATTCAATAGGCCGTCCTAAATTTAATTTATCTTTAGAAATGTTGATACATCAGTGTCATTTCCCTCCCCCCCCCCCATATTTTTCTGAGGCATGAGGGATATGAACTGCTGCTGGTTTTTAAGGTGAAAGTTTAGCTTGTGGTGCAGGAAATTACTCAGTGCTATTTAGAATACTCCCTTTTGGTACATTTTGTGTAAGTCATTTTTATCATCTGGGAAAAGGGTCAAAGCACAAAAGAGGTTTAGAGTTCAGAAACTCTGCATTAAAATGCCATATTTGGTCTATGGATGTTTACTGTGCTTGGCAGTTCTATATTTTACAGATAACCGTGGTGATAACTAGAAGAGAATTTTAAACTAGAAGTTGAACAACATCAGATTTTAACACTACAGCAAGTTCCCATTCAAAGTTAAAGAGCTATACATGAATGGTTACATATAGGAATGGTTAATTCTGGGTTCATAAAGCTGTAGCCATATTTTTTATCATAAAAGTGACTAAAAGGATCACACCAAACTTTTCCAGCCTGAAACAATCCCAGGAGTTCAGTTGGACTTTTGGACAACCCCAGTGTATCCCAGGGAATGCCCATGCGTTAACAGACTCTCTGGGACAATTTCAGTCACTTCCCCATGTTTACTATGACCCTTATGTTAACTGGGCACCATGCATGTGGGAACTAAGGAGAACTCACATCATATATTTTACAGATAACCGTGGTGATACTAGGGAGCGGTGGTGCAGGCAGTTAAACGCCTGCGTTAACAACTAAGAGCAGCCTCTATGGCGGTTCGAATACCACCGTGGCCGGAGTGAGCTCCCGGCCTTTATCCCAGCTCCCGCCAACCCAGCGGGTCGAAAGCCAATTAACAACAACAACTATGGCGAGTAGGCGAATGGGTACCTGCCCTTAGATGGGCAGGGGGCACCCACCTCTGACGACAAAAGAGGTATGGTGGTTGTGCAGACGGCGGTGTGATGTGGAGAACCATGGCGGAGCAGAGAGTGATGGCGGCAGATCGGCAGCGGCGGCGGCAGAGGCGTGTTGGCAGAGCTTGGCGGCGGTACGAAGCAGAGCGATCCCTGGCGGCCAAGGAAGACATCGAAGCACCGAGCGGCGACGGCAGCAGCAGTAGGACCCTGGAGGCGCTCGACGAATGACGCGGAGGCAGAAGGCGGGGCCTGATGGACATAGCCGGCCGGAGCGTCAGGAAGCCG